TAATTTCATCATCGCAAACGCAAAAAATTGAATTTAGTATAACGAATTTCATCCTTATTCTGAAGTTCCTTTCATCGATAAAAGTACTTCCAAGTGTGTTTATAAGTCGATCAAAAGACTTATGAGTCACGTTTAGAAATACTTCTATCGATAAAAGACAGTTCAGAATAAGGTTTTTGTGTATTATAGATTTCGCGGTGAAGTCTTTTTCCACTGGTCAAAATCAATGAGATATAAGACTGAGCAGTAAAGTGAGACTGCCTTCACTAAAAATCAATAAAAATCAATGCTCATTGATTATCAATGAAACGCTCTTTTTACTAACTCGATCAGAAATATTTTTACTTATTCACTTGAAAAGAGTAGTGAATCAACTAATAGATCCTTTCCTAACCGAAATTTTAACTCTACTTTTGACCTAAACCTTTAACGTCTATATATTCTAAAAAATCAGTGTATCATTAATATACATGAAAACTAAAGTTGTATTAAACGCCTCTAAATGGAAAAAAAATGTACAAAATGTCACTTGTAGGTTCTAAAATTCTTCTTGCTAAAATTAGTGAGTTAAGAGAAATCATAACTTGACAGAGATTTAGAATATCAGAGTAAGCGTTGAATAGAATATTGAGGTCGAAAGAGAAATTTTTTACTTGGACTCTCATCATTTTCACAAGTTTGACACATCAACACGACATTGAAAACTTCAAGTAACTCTAAATAACAAGTTGAGATAGTCTTGGATATCCTTAAGACGTCTTAAGGTATTTCTCAAGATATCTGTACACATTATAAATGGATTTTTGGACATCTTGTAATCCTTGGGGAAATTCGTAGGTTTACGCGAGCACCTACGACCAGAAACTTCGTGAGAAACTTTCGTCGCTTGTACATTTTTCATGAAGAATAATGAAGCTTTCGAAGACAGATAGCCGTTTACTTCGGCTATTAATCTGTGGAAATTAACCTCGTTATATCTTGTGTATAGAATTTCGACTTGGCCTGAAATCATACAATCGGGACCAGTTTAAATTGGCCCTGGACTCTGGACGAAAGACAGAGTCTCCAGGTGATACCAAGCGGACGCTTCCTCAGCAGGAATTTCGTCCCGAAGGTGTTCCCGACGCGATGCGACACGGCCGCGAACGCGACCCGGCGGACCGCCCGAATCGACGAGCTGACTCACTCACTCGACAGAACGCAGCCGGTACGAGCCAGTTCGGGACGGTCAGCCCGGGCCTGACCCCGTCCTGGCCGTTACCATTTCTGAGTGACGTCTTCATGTCTGGCTCTGCGGGGCATTCCTCGTTCTCATTGTGCGTTTGTCCGTCAGTCCGTTCGGCCGGGCTCCAGGCCGCGAGACGTATATCGCCAACCCCCCGTCGTCGGCCGCTTCTCGCCGTGAAAACTGCGCGGCTCCTACGGAGATGACTCGTGAAAAAAAAGAGAGTGAAGACGAGGAGGCACACTACGAGCCGAGTCGGCGGACCGGGATGACGCTGGTAACCGCTTCTTCCTCGCGAGAACCTCGGGAACGCAACGCGTTGGAATCGGGTGAAAGTGAAGCGAAGACGAAGACAACGACGACGACGACGAGAGCGGCGTTGAGAGGTGCAACGATCGGCGGTTGACTTCGCTAATCAATCGCCCCTTCGACACCTTTGCAGTCAGAATCCCAACGTTCGCGCTCGATTCCGTATTCTTTATGCTAATTATGTTGACCTCAACACGTAGATAAGTCGCTTCTCGACGATGACTCCTCGAAACATCCGCATTTTCGGGCGCGCGCGCGCGACGGCCTTGGCGCGAGATCCGGGCCTCTGCGAGTTCTCTCTCGCTGAATCCGCCACGGCAGTTTCTATAAACGGCGCTTTATGTAATCGAATAACAGAGCAGCGTTCTGTAACTCTATGCATTTTATGTACTTCGAGCGTTTCGATATACCTATGAATATTGATGTAATCGCGACGGAAGGCTGCCGCGAAATTCCGCCGTCCACGATTTTTATTGCGATATACATTCCCGGCGAATGAAGCTGTCTCGTAAAAAGAGAAGCGACACCTCTATCCCCGATCCTTTGCAGATCGAGCTGTAAGGATCTATGATAAACAAAAAAAACACAGGAAAAAGAAGCGACCCGACCAATCGAGTCTCGTGCGTAGGTCGACTATAAACGCGAATTTAGGATCGGACCGATATTAGACTCGGAGCTGCGCCTGCAACTCACCAAACGCGTCGTCTAATAGAATTAAGGCCTATTAGCTCCTAATTGATATTTATTGTTCCCCTCAGGACCGATGTATGAAAGTAGCTCTGATTAGCTCACGTAAATCGCGCCGTCGGGAACACCAGCACGAACGAAAGCCACTTTCCACCATGTGTTTCGCGTATGTTTCCCGCATTGCTCGGGAGCAATCAGGATCAGATACAACGTTGATAAAAAGAGAATACTATGAAGAAAGAACAAAAACGTGGATGTTATCCAGTCAAGAGGTCGGCCGCCGAAAGTCACTCGCTAAAACTTTGACAAATGACGATTTAAAGTCCCCCAAGTGGGTATATTTATGCCCAACATATTGCGACCGGTCCCGACTGTTAATAACCGTCGCCGTTCTCGCCGACGAAGAAGTTAATTTCGTTGGCGGGCAAGACTGAAGGAATCAAGCTCACTTCTCACGCGGAGAGAAGCAAAGGGGAAAAGCCGGGCGCTACAAAGGAGGAGGAGGAGGAGGAGGAGGAGGAGGAGATGTGTGTGGAGGAAGTTCTGTCTTTCTTTCTCCCTCACCTGCGCTTCGCGCGTCGAAGAAGAGGCGCGAATCCGCTGCTCGCTAACGAGCGGCGATTTCGGTGCCGGAAACCTGGCACAGGGAGCGATAGGTAACTAAACTCGTATTACCGATTCCTGCGCGGTTAGGTTAGGTACGGCCACTCGCTCGCCCGTTCGCCTGCGCTCGGGGCCAAAGAAATCGGTACAAAGATTGATGCTCGCGGCGCGTTTCACTCTCGCGGCCGGTAGCGTCTCTTTATCGAGAGAGACGACGACGACGTCGTATAAACGCGGCGTACTTTTCGTGACGATTAGCGGGGATGACGTTGCGTTTATGCTGACAAAAGCGCGAACGATGGTTTACCGCTGCTCGCCGGGGTGTACGACGAGCCGGCGTAGAGAAAAGGCGGCGGCGATCCTGAATAGAGCCGATAAGGAGGTGGCTGGCAAGGAGCAAGGTGAGACGACGCCGACGCGAGAGGTGTACCTCGTTAATTGGCGACAATTAACAGGACGAGCATGCGACTGGCTACCGGAGCCCGGAGCCTCTCGAGCGCGATACGCGCTCGCGCGCGCGCGCGCGCGCGAAAAGGCGCCGGTCACTCTCTTTCACGCGGGCTTACGTAAGCAGAGAGGCCCAAGAAGACCAAGAGGACGTGAGAAGATGAAGCCGCTTTCGAAGCGGCCGATTTCCGCGACTCCATTTATCAGAGACGCGCTGCCCGACGATCGCAAGCGGGATGATGTGGATGTGTGAGCGACGGCTCGAAGAGAGGTGAAGAGAAGGTCCGAGCTGTTTTATCGCGCGCGAATGTAACGATTTTACACGTGTGCGTATGTGGTTCGTATGTTGGGATTGAGACTGAGAGACTTGCGCCGGTGCTTTTTGCATCCAGCTGCTCCGTTCCATGTCAACGTCACTCTCGGCGAATTACAAGGCGTCTCGCGAATCAACGGCGCCCGATGTCGTCATCGTTATTCTACTCGCGGCGAAGCAAATCCCTCGATCGGCGGCGCAGATTCACACATTACCGCTTTTGTTATTAGCCGCTGTTATTGGCGGTGTTACAGCCGTGTAGAGCTCGGCTCGATTATTATCGGCGCGCCTACACGACGTCGGGAAAAATCGTAAGCGACGTGCGACGGGGTGCGCGGGAGCCGTTGGAAAAGCGCGATATTACTTTCTGATTTATATAACGAAACGACGTAACACCAGAAGCCAAGCTGTCAAGAGTACAGCAGACGTATTGCCTTCACAGGCGATTAAACCGGGAAAGATTGAACACAGCTCCCAGTAGCCAGCATCCAGGACGAAAATTTCATCTGAATGGACCGAAGGAGGACCAAAAATCTATCCCTGAACCGATATACTGGAGGGCGTGTCAAGGTGATCGTTAACTTAAAGTTCGACCCGATATAATAGATATAACCCAACGATCCTTTTCCTTCTTTTCTTCTTTCTTCTTTCTCAGCTATTTCCCACGACCGCTATGTTAATTTCGAAATTTTCGTCATATGGCCACGCCCTTAATTTAAGGCGCCATTAACACCGCAAGCGGGGTGCAATTATCGCGGCTTATTGATTTAACGTTATTACGTTCTTTAGAATCGTAAACATCCCATTCTGCTGAACGTGCTAATTTGATGCACCTATGTCAATGGACTTTAAATACATGACCAAAGATTTCGTGAAAATAGATGCCAATAGATCGCAAACTTTGATATCGATTAAACTGATCGAGTATTATGAAAATCAAATGATGGCCGGTCGCTTTCGCAAATGCGCACGCAACGTTTTTCGACAGTGTTATGCAAAAATACGATTCGATTTGAAAGCTATGGGACTAGAGGAAGTGCTGTGTGATATCGGTCTTCCTGCGTTAGCTGAGTGTTCAGAGGATTTATTGAGCTACCAATTCCGAGGTGTGAATTTTGAAAGCCCTCTTGCGAGGGCAGAAAATGCAAAATAATGTGGTCGTTTGAACGCAACTGAGAGACACGATCAGTCCTTTCGTTCGCATACAAAGAACACAATTGGAACAAGGAACGTAAGAACACGTAAAGAATGAAGGCTGTTGTGCTTGATATCTGCACAGCTACCTGAAAATTTGGATACTTTGACAGTTATGTCGCACTATTGTCGTCCTATTTTGTACGGTCGCAGGGAAGGAAAAAAAAGGAAAGAAAGAAAGAGAAATTATGAGACTGAAAGATGCTCATCTTTTTGCCGCAGGATAACCCAGATGTTTACACCGCACAGTTCATAAAGAAATCTCTTCGATGCTCTTTCGCTTACCTCTTCTGACGTGTGGTTGTTCCGTAGCCGCACCGTGCTTTCCGCGTGCGGTATCCCTTGGACGTCACTTCTGCTACGTGATCTCAGCATCCACGTGGCGCTTTCCAGCAGGTAAGGTTTGATTGGAGTTTCCTTCTTTGTTTCTTCCTTTGCTCTGGTCTTCTCGCCCTGTCAATGTCGTCACTCACGAATCATCCCGAGAGTTTCCCGTCAGCGAGGGCTCAATTGGTCGGCCGGTCGGTCGGCGTGTCACACCGGAAGTGTTGGGGCTACCGCGTACTCCGCGAGTGCATCCGCGATGTGGATCTCGTAGTGGTCGCAGATGATACGACGTGAAACTACGTGGACAAGGTCACGGTGAGTTATAGCACCCTCGGCCCTTGGGCGGAAGGACCCGATGCGGCGGGATCCGCGAGTCGTCCGCACGTCGACGTGACTATCCTCCCTCGGGGCTAACTCGTTCCAAGGGAACAGCGACGCGCGACGGGGGGTGAGGCGGCGGGAGGACGAGGAAGCTCTTCTTCTGGACGTGCCGCCACGCGTTGGACGTGGAGCAAAACGCCGTCGCCGTCGTCGTGGCTCTACTACTCACTTCGCGTCCGTCTCACGCGCGCGAGCGAGCGATACCTCGGCGGGTGGGTGCTCTCTCTCTCAACGCCTGCGACGGCGTCGGCGGCTGCGGCTGCGGCGGTGGCGGTGGCGGTGGCGGTGGCGGTGGCGGTGGCGGCAGCGATGGCGACGACGACGTTGCTTCGTGGTACCGCCGTTCGGTGGCGTTGATCCTGCCAGCACGTCCTGAATCCTCCTCTACCCTTGCTCCCTCTTCCTCCTTCTCCTCCTCTTCCTACCTCCTCTTTTGCCTTTCCTCACGATCCCCACTGTTGCCGTCGGCGAGCCTTCGAACTGGCCTGTGGCTCTCTCTCCCTGTGACTCGCTCGCTCTATTCTGCTCCGGGAGCCCTGCCGTCGTCGTGCATCTGCCTGTGTGTCTGTGACACCGAGGGGATACACGCCAGCCAGAGAGAGAGAGAGAGAGAGAGAGAGAGAGAGAGAGAGAGAGAG